TATATATATAAATTAAAAACAAATTCAATATGTTATCCAGAACATAGCTATATTGTACATTGTTAAGGAAAGAAAAAGAATTACAAAAATAACATTCATATAAAAGCAGCTAAATACTAATTCTATAATGATTAATAAAAATATGTAGTACAAAAATTAAGTATAAATATTCGGCCAATTAGATAATTTTTAGAAAAATCAAGATGGCTCATATAAAAACAAAGACTGTCACTATCTGAGTTTATAAAGTTTAAAAATTATGAAAAATGATTAAAAACAATATATAATGCATAAATGTCACGATAAATATGTAGTGTGAATGAATGAATGCGAATAAACCGGACCATTACATAGAATTTAGAATTTTTTAAATAATACACAAGCACTAACCAGGTGAATCTAGAGGTACACAAATTAATGACTTATTTTTATGAGGACTTCCTTGACTGGTATTGGCTAATAAACACATCCAATCTGCTTGAGGGCCATTTGTAATCCACATCTTGCCTCCATTGATTATTAGATCATCCCCTTTTCTCACAGCATTGGTTTTAATGGCTGAAAGAAAAAAGAATCATTAAATTATGATGTACAAGAAAGCAACTAATTCATCTACATATGATTTGATGAATATAAACATCTTACAGAAAATGTGAAATGCTTGAAATCTTTAGAAAAGTCAGATTTATTCTCTGCTATGCTAATGCTAGATAACCTCAAGAGTTTTGAAGGGAAAAAATGGATATTTGTCGTAGCTCTTTGACATGAGTTAGTGGGACTCCCTGAGTAAGACTTTTTTTTTAAAGTCTGCAACCGACTTTAAAAAACCTCATCGACTAAAAACTTGCCATCAGACAGATATAGGATTCAACTTCCTTCAAGTTAATATATGGAAAATTATCTAAACTCATTTTCCTTATTTATTAATTACCTAACTTATTGATTTTGCGAATGTTTATTTAGCACCTACATTGCCTCAATAATATAGAGGTTTTAATGTCTCCTTAAACGTCGAATTTTTGGCTAAAGCCATCGATATAAGTTCGTGCTATTTTTGTATTAACCTTACATTTACTTTTTCTTATCTTTACATTTAAGCTGAAGATAATCCATAAATCAGCATTTTAAGCGTCATTCACACTGCTCAATTTCAATGCTTTTATTGCTGTCTCTGGGTTTCTTAATGTCGATGATATGCACATCATTTGTTCTGGAACTGACATGGGAGTCATCGCTGACTGCAAACGAAGACTGTGTAAGTTTCATACAGCTACGAAGACGAAGTTCGTTTAGTAATGTTGAATGGGCTTGAGCAAATTGAAATAGAAGTTACTGTTCTGCATGTGAATCAGCGCCAAAATGAAGAACATCTTATATATGTACCTTTTAATATTTTATAACATAAAGCCGTGTGGTTCAGGGGATAGAGCGTTCTCCCTTCAATAAAGTGAACCGGATTCAAATCCCAGCATTGGCTGGTCCATACGAATTCCACACCTGGCTCGCACCTACCACAGTGCTGACGTAAACAATCCTCAATGGTAGATGGATCATGGGTTAGGATCCCCTCGTCACCAGGCTAATCGTGGGAGGTTTTCCTCTCTATGTAAAGCAAATGCGCGTTAGTTTCATCAAAAAAAATCCTCCATGAAAGCAAATTTCTCCCAATACTTGATCCAGAGCCTGGTCGGTAGGGCGCTGGGCCCATATCCAAGAGGTCGTGGGTTCGATCCTCGCCGGCCGAAGACTCCCCGTGTAGTAAATGGTGACTGATGCACGTTAAATCTGTCGTGTCTCAAAGTCCTCCATGTTCCCACAACAAATCAATACCTCTGGGGGTACTGATCCAGGAGTTTCCTTGTCTTCTGGATTGGTTCAAAATTACAAGGCTGCGGAGTTGAACGTAAGTAGTCGTAAACCCATGAAATTGGGTCGGCTGTTCAACGACGGTTATAAAATAAAATAAAATACTTGATCCAGAAGTTCCCTAGTCTTCTGGACAGGGTTTAAAATTACAAGGCTATGGAGTTGAACATAAGTTGTGGTTAATCCAAAATTGGGTCGGCTGTTCACCGACGGTTGTAAAATAAAATATTTTACTAGAAGCATCTAGAAGCATCGAAACAAGACTAAGCATCGTTACTTGCAGATTAATTTCAGTGAAACCTTTGTAATTTTGCGATTGCTATGCAAAACTTCAAAACTCATACTTTTCTCAAAACTTCAAAACTCAAACTCATAAAACTCATAAACTTCAAAACTCATACTTAAAACTTCAAAACTCATACTCATTCAAAACTCATACTTTTTATGAAAAAATAATTATGAATCTAGAATTCTTTTTGTTTTCTTCTTAGAACTAGGGTACAAATTATGTTCAAGTGGGATAATTATGACTACGGTGTAGTTGACCAGTGCCATTTTCTAAAAAATTTGTTCAGGATAAAAATAAAATTCACAACTATGCTTTATAAAGTTTTATGTGTATGTTTTGTTTGAGGATCCTTTAAATAGTTAGATAAAATAAACTAAGTCAATATTCAATGATTCTAAAAGAGTACACTCGTACAAATCTTCAAGAAACAATTTTGGCTCATGTTGATTCTATCACCGAAAAAAAAATGGGAGGGGGGTGTTATGCGATTTTCGACCCAAATTTATACAAATTCAAAATCAATAATCATATGCTCCTTATTAGAAAAATGTCAAATACATAAAAAAAAGTCTCGTTCTCATTTCTTTCTAAGGAGCCTGGGAGACATTTAAGAGGAGAAAAAAACTGAGTCTACAACACCATACCAAATATTCGAAACTAAAATCAGTAATCTAGGTGCGAAAGTGATCAGTCGGTGAAACAGTTAGTTCAGTGAACTGAATAGTTTGACGCCCAATAATTTTAATTAAAGAAGAATTTGTAAAAAAATTGCTGGCTAAAGGCAGCTTTGGTTATCTTTGCGACAGGCAAGAACTTCTGTATCTTACTGGATAATACAATAAAGGAATTACACAGTGTGTCCCAGTCCCACACAAAAACGCACCTTGATTTTGCTCCAAAAATAGATACAAAATAAGTCAATTGAAATGAAATATGCATATTAGTAAAGTGTGTGGGCAAATACATATTCAGAGAGAGTATCCCCCTTTCTGCCCCTCCTAGACAGGAAAATTCAAATCTCGAATCAAAAGTGTCACACTGAAATAAAATTACTTCTGTTAATAACCAAAATATCCGCCATATTTATAAATGACTAGAAATATACGATGTTACATACCATTTACCCAATCACTAATATCATCCCTAGTTTCAATAATGTCATCCTTCAATTCCGCTGAAGACTGAAAATGTATGTCTTCGTTATTTGCAGCTTTACTGAGAATACTTTTCTCGCGTTTTTCGTGACTAATTGTGATCAGGGAAAAAGGCAGGCTGTTCTAAGACATCCAATAAACCGAAAACCACGACTTTTGCAAGTTTTTCAAAGTTAAAAGGAAGTAGTGCCCTGCTGGAATATCCGACCTAAGCAACTAATTCTCTCTTCAAAAGGCAGTAAATAGGTATCTTGCATTTTTCCGTAAACGGTAGTCTCAATTCCACATGGGGGAAAAGTCATATAAGTTTACCACCATAAAAAATGACTTTCCACGCCATTAATGAACCTTCACATTGGATGATGCGTAATTTCTTTTTCTCATTTAATATTTCGCTTTATTTGTCGTAAAAACATATTTACGATAGATAAAAAAATTAAACAACTGGCCCATGTTGAAAGCTAACCACACGCAAAGGTAAGTAGAAAAAAAATCAGACTGTCCAAACAGTTTTGTGTGATATTGCAAATGGCTTCAGAAAAGAAATGGATTTCTTTTCCATAATATAGTAAGTTGGAGGCTGATTAATGATATGGGAAGGACTTAGCTATGGGGTAAACTTAATCTGTCATGCCAAGCCGCATTAGAGGCTAACGATTACCAAAAAATACTAGAAATTAATTTTTTCCAATTGAAAAGAGAATTGGTGGCTCAAATAGTATTTTCCAGAAAAATAATGTCTCCAGTTACGTTGAAAAAGTTTTATTGTGATTTTTGGATAACAGGGTGCGCGTGTTGAATAGCCTACCTTTTCCCTTGACCTCAATCTCCAAGAAACAGTAATCTTCACACACAGAGTATGTACCAAAAAAGAAGCAGTTTCAGTCTATGGCAGAATTAAAGGCTGCAATCATTGATACTTGAAATAATATTGGTGCTACTGCCCTCCTTGAATCAGTAGCAACATCGTATATTTCAAGTCATGTGGCTTATATTATATGATCCGGCTATTCCAAAATATAGAAATCCGGAAAAAAAAATAGTACCAAAATATGTCGATATGTGGCGTAGGTAATGTCAGGGGAGAGGCCAGAAACGGATTCGTTACACTCAGGAATGTTGTTAGCCAAAAGGAAACAGAGTTCAGGGGTTTACTAAAAAATTTTTAGCGTAAAGACAAGAATACGTGTTAACAGCAACAATTTAAAAAAAAGGAACAAACATGGAACTTGCGTTATGGAACAAACATCTTAGTGATGATTAAGGTATAAGTTGTTCGATGTGCCCTCCGCATTGTTCCGCTACTTGAAAGTGTAAAGCAGCATGCACCACAACAGATCGGGGGGTATCTGTACAGACGGGATGGATGCGGTGTGTTAAGCTTGCCTTCAAATCGGCTAGATTCTCAGTCCGCCCGCTTTAAACATCCTTCAGGTACTCAAAAAGACAGAAATCCCTCGGGTTTAAGTTAGGGGAACGTGGCGGTCACATTGTCGGAAAATAAAGGTTATTCTTATCGTCTCCGAAATGAGCACTCAGCAGCTGCTTCACATGAGTAGCAATGTGTGGAGGAGCGTTTCTTGCGTGAATATTGTGCAATCCACACACTGACGCTGCTGAAGTGCCCGAAGGAAGTGGTTACGCAAAAGTGCTTCATACTGCTTGCCAGTAACGGAGATCCGCAGGTGTGATCTCGAATAAAAACGCTGCCGTTAATCCGCACTACACAATGTCCTTCTCAGACAGAAGAGGTGATGGCTGTAGCTGGAACCGATTTTTGGTCGACTCTATCCTACAATTTTGCGTATTTACAGAACCTTGCAAATGGAAGTGGGCTTCGTCAGGAATATGATCGTGCTGTGAAAGAAACAGTTCCTATCCGTGCGCAGATTCATTTTTGTTGTTGTTCTTGTTGGGTTTTTTTTTGTTTCTTTTCTTTTTCAGAATCAGTTTTTTCAAGGACAGAAACCGCTCTAATCTTAAAAATTCCTTTTTAATAAGTTTATTAGTAAAAAGATAATTTTGTTTATAAAATGCGCTTTTATAATAATTTTATGAAGGCATCATTTTATTAATACGTAAATCGAAATGAAATGAAAGGATAGCTGGATTTAAAAAATAACCAACTCTATTTTTAAAAAAAAAATTAAATTAGGAATAGTACACAATGCGAGACACGATAAAAGTAATAAACGAGAATTCACTTACTAACGATAACCTTATATTGCATATCAGTTACCTTTGGAAAC